CCGAACGGGAAAATCCCTTCACTTGTCACTTGTCACACAATATCACTTAAAGATCACAAACAGGGAACGAAGTCCCAAATCACAACAACAACCTGACTAGCGAGCTGCTTATATAAGCATCCGAAGAGAGTCTAGAAGTTTCCAAAAGTAACTATTTATAACCATGACAATCGTAACTATTTATAACTATTACAATAAACTCTCTTTTTAAACTGATGAGTCACAGTTCTAGAAAATACTTGAAAAGTTCAATGCCACAACGAAAATAGCGAGTGGTCTTCTTTGTTTTTACAATCCGGCTTTTGAGATTGTACCGCACATTAAACAATATCTTTACATCCCGTCTGGCTTCCACAAGGAAAGAAGCTGTGGGATAGAGATTGTTTCCTTAAGTATGCGGTGCTTTAGTCTAAACCATCTTCTTGCTGAATTTATTCTATTAGTTATTTTTACGCAGAGCCAAATAACTAATCGCCGAACATACTAATATCTCGAGGTAAAATAAGTTTTCTTCAAACTTGTATCTTTACAGACTTCGATAGTCATGTGAATTCATTTCAGCCAATCTATTTCAATATTAAATGACAACAAGGTCCAGCAAAACACTTCACTTTACCAATCAAAGCTTTATATAGATAGATAACCAGCATAGGCGAATTTGGAAAGGAAGATGTTTCCCTAACGTGTACAAACTTAATTCTTTTGGAATGCTGAAAGTTATAGCGAGAACGGAATTGATTTCTTTTAACAAATAAAATTGTTAGGAGAGGAAAATAGTTGTTTCCTCTCACTTTAAACCGTTTCCGGATAATGCTGAAATGCAGCTGTCATTATTATGAACTTGGGTGCGTAGTTTTTAAGCATAAACTAACTTTGTTCAAAACTCTTACTTTGAAACGAATCCGCAAAAATCTTCATCAACTGCCGGCTAATCTTGACTTAGAAGAAACCCTTCCCCATAAGGATTTCTTTTCACAAGCTAGAGCTAATTAAAAACTTTAGCTACTGTAGGCTCACTAAAAATGCATTATCAACTCACCGTGTGCAACTAACGGGTAAAGACATACACCAAGCAACAGCATGGACAAAATAATTGAGCTCATCTTTGGGTTTCCTCACTTATACTCGTTTCTTCTGATTCTAAAGCTCAGAGCGCCTCCAAGTAATTGCAAACGTAAGAGAACTCTCGAATACTTCTGACGATGTAAGTTAATTTTATATCCACCTATGGGGTCCTTTTTAAATTTGCGCTGTTGAAGTTGAACAGATTAAAANGCACATTTAGGTTTTACGTGCGCAAAACTAATATTTGACTGATCGAGTTTTGTTACACTATCTTGGCCGCCATTTATTTCATTAACACTTTTGCAATATCAGACCATCATCATCATCAAAGCAAAAAAAGTGATAACAGAGGCAGCTGGTGCAGTAACTGAACAAAAACTGTCTTTTCTCTACGACGTGTGAATTGATTTTAAAGTTTGATGATGAGCCGCTGCTCGCGAAAGGAGCCCGCGTACCTCCCAGAGAAAGACGAGCGGACCCTAGAGGGCAGCGTAAATCGGGCTTAAGCATGAGTTAGCGGATTCATAGTTATTATATTAACTCGATAATCATTATCTCCAGGTTTCATGGCGAAGGAAAATTAAAGTTTATTGAAGGAGTAAATTTCACTGGAAAATTCGAAAAGGGCAGAACAATAGAGGTAAACGAGTCCCGTGACAATAGAGGAATTTAGCACGGCGTTACGTGAAGTGGCAATCGTCAGCTTGCCGTTTTACGGTACGATGAATATATGAAGTTCATATATTTTGAACTGCGGTTATAGATACGTATGATGAATGATCATTTTACGTTATACGTCAAATAGCGTGAACCTTGCTGCTTTATCTTTGCGTAAGCTCACGTTGTGGTGAATCTGAAGGCGCCCTCGCTTGACATAATAAGGAATAATTTTGGTGCCCTTTCTCCGGCAATCAGCTTCTACTCTGTGAGGGGAAAAAGTAAGGAAAATCTTACGTACACGGCAAAAGCGAAGCAGTTTACTCTCACAGTTTATTCTCACAAAGAAGAAGCAAGTATTATTGTTTGTCTCACGATGCGGTCACTTATGACGTAGGATTCCACAGCTGTGATTACCAACCAATCACAGCGGACCATCCTCCTTTAGAAAAAGACCCGAAACCAGTCGACATTATCGGCTGATAAAAACTAGCAGTATGCTGTCGAAATGTCGCGATTCACATCATAGGTGACCACATCGTGCATGAGACAAACATACTTTACCACCGTGACGATGAACGAGCACAATCTTTTTTAAGTCAAGACTTTCTTTGCTCTGCAAGCCCTAGACTAGATTCATGTCTGACCAGGATCATAGCATGTAGAACATGCATATTTCAGGCACAGTCAAGTTTTTCCCATTCGAACCTCAAGGCCACTGGATAACATATGTCTGTGAGAAAGCATTCCCGGGGCTCTCGGGAAGCGAGTGCAATTAACCGATTAGTGAGGGGGGTTTCTTGTGTAGATTTATGATTGATTTTTTGTATCTTAAGGTAAGAAATTTTTTCCGTTTGAGGGGAACCGCGTTTTCCCGTTTAATCAGGCAATTTCCTTTTTCTTTTTTCTCCTGAGGCATTATGGCCGTTTTGTAATATCTTCCCTTGTTCTTATCGGCTCTTGTAATTTATGACACGAAGGAAACCGTGCGTGCTGTAAGTCCCTCCCGTCGTCCGTTACACTTTGAAAAGTTTCCTAGAAACGTTTTCTACCGGTAGGTTGCTGAGGTGCACTAATCAATTAATCAGTCGATCAATTGATCATATAGAAATTGTATTTTATGCCTTTGAACAACTGCACCCTGTGCGTCGTGTCTTTTTACACACCCGTGACATTCTCCGATTTACAGATGAGAAGGAGCATCAATGGATCATAAACCGGTGTAGGAAAGCCAGGGACGAACCAGTTGGCAGTAGGAAGGTCCACTAGGCTCAGCCTCTGACCTCCCTTGTGGCATATATTGGATAGTTTTGATACAAGTTAATAAAAACTATCAATCAAGAATGGTTTTTACCTGGTATTAGTTCACTGATGCTTTAAACACTCCAACCAATTGAAGGTAGACTTAGTATTTCTGTTAAAAAAGTTAAAGTATGTTTGTGAGAGCCAAGTGACACATACGGCCTGTGCTTGACTTTGGTTTCTATAGCATGAAGCGACTAGGAGTATTTCTACTCCCCCCTCGATGGGATGCTAGTCCATCACAGGGTTACCCCCCAGCATTAAATTCACTAGTATTGATTTAAACACCTGGGTGAAGAGAGGCACCGTGAGAGTAAAGAACACAACAAAGTGTCCCCCCCCAGCACTGACCACTCAATGCAGAGTCGAGTGCACTAACCAGGAAGCCACCATGCCTACACAGTATTTCTGTGGTATAAAGTAAATGAGGTTGTGTAGCAGAGAGGGAAGAGTAATGGGGTTGTTTTCCTTGACACCACTCACCCCCTATTGTAGAATATTCACAACTGAAAGTACAGTGGAACATTTCAAATAGGCAGTTTTGCATAAAATGTACATATTTTTGTAATTCCCCGCATCAGAATCAAGCACCAAACACTATACAATGATTTAGAATTCCTTTTTTCAAATGAGGGATAAACGTAATTGCACATAAATTTTAACAAATTATAACCCACTAAAATTGCTAATGTTCAGCCTTTAGCTATACACAAACCATCAAAACTCCTTCCAAAAATATAGTTGTTAAAATAATTAGAATCATCTAGTATCAAAAATTACATAAATTTATGCTTTCAATTGAGTACTATAACTATCAAAAACAGCTACATCGTTAAACAAGGATTTTCAGCAAATAGAAAACTGTAATTGGCACACACAATGCACTTATCAATTTACAGCCAATTACAATTTTTGTCTAAATTGTAAATATTACTCATAAAATATATATGAATTTCATTTTATTGAGGTTGCTCCCCTCATCAAAATTAATATTAAATTTTCAAATTCAAAACATCCATTTCTCTGAGACACAGTTTTCATTAAAGCTTTACCAATCAATATCTTAAAAACTTAATTCATGCTTGGTGTCCAAATTCTGCACCTCTTATTTATTACATCAAACATAATGATTGTCATAATGTAGAAATCTGTTTCTTTGAGCTCTCCAAACTTTCCAATTGCTACACACAGTTTTTTGATAAACACACAACTGACAAATGAAGCAATTGTTTTTAATTACAGCATTTTCATCTGCATAGTTGGC